GCTGCAATACGGTGACCTTTCACTTGGCTGCACTTTTTGCAGTGTCGCGCTACCGTCATGACGATTTCCACTCGCAGTACCATTCTGCGGTGACCTTTGGTCCCGCTGCGCGTTTCCACTCGCAGTACCATTCTGCGGTTACCTTTTGTCTACTTGCACTAGTTTCCCGGTAACCAGTTCGTTTTGCTGCTGTGACGGCATCCATATAGCCGCTTCCCTTGTCTTTTGCGCTGACGGCATCCATACAGCCGCTCCCTTTTCTTTTTGCGCTGACGGCATCCATATAGCCGCCGCAGTGGTCACGTTCACTGCAGTACCATTCTGCAGTGATGACCTTTCTGTTCCCTTTTTATCCGGCGGTTTAGGGTCGGGTCGATCAGTAGGCTCACCGGCGCCTACTGATCTTGCCCGTTTCCCTGAACCGGCGCTCCACCTTGTTGCGCGCCTTGCACATTTCCTTGTACATTTCCTTGTACATTTCCTTGTTGTTGTCCGATATCATTTGCCGGGTTAGGATTCTGTCCGCCACCGCCATTATTGTATTGGCCACCACACTGTTGGTAGTTTCCTTGGCCACCTCCATTGCCACCGCCTCGGTTGCCGCCACCGTAGTTTCCACGACCGAAGCCTCTGTTCCTTCCTCTGAAGCCGCCGCGGTAGCCGCCACGATTGCCACCGCCTTGGCCGCCATTTCCGTTTCCGTAACTACCGTTTCCTTGCTGAAAGTTCGCTTTCGCCTGATACCATTGAGCGATCAGGTCATATCCATTTGCCACAGCTTGTCGCCAGCCGCCCGAATTGCGCAGCCGTTGCCACTCTCTGAAGGCGAACAAGTTCGGGTTCTGATCCGGCGGCGTGTTCGCGAACTTGCATCCCTGCGTCTGGTGGTTACCGTACATACAGTATTGGCACATCTGTACGCCATTTGCAACCCATCCATCAATCATTTGAAACTTGAATTCCGTTCGTGACCCCTGATTCTGCTGGAAGTTATTCTGGTTTCCTCTGTTTGGCTGAAAGTTGCCTTGACCTTGACCTTGATTCTGGAAGTTTCCTTGACCTCCATTCCAATTTCCATTTCCATAGCCGTTTCCACCGAAATTTCCGTTGCCCACTCCTTGTTGTGGTAACCCTACATTCATAGGGGCCAAATTCTGTGGTGCCGGTGGAGCCACATTCTGAGGTGCCGGTCTCACTTGAGCCGCCGCCTGTATCGCAGCTACCATTGCATACGTAAGTGGCTGTCCCGTCTGGCTGTCGATAAAGGTCACTTCTTTGGTGACCTCTTGCACTGGAGCCTCCCTCCGGTATTCCACCGGCTGTTGGACTGGTGCAGCTGCCATCCTTTGTTGCGGTACATTTTCAACTTGGCCTTGGCGGATGGTCGCGTATTCTTGATTACGTTGACCTTTTGGCGCCTTATACTTTTCTTCTCCCGTTGCCCAGTGTCTGAAGAAATCCTTTACATGGGTTGGCGTTCTACACTTCTGTGTAGGCAATGCCTTGTAGAGTTCATTGTCTACTCTACATCCTTCGATCAAGAAGCCCACTGCTTGTTTTTCCGTAATGATCCTCTTAGCTTTGAATCGCATCATCGCTTGATAGTACTGGTCAAGCGATTTCTTTCCAAGTTCGAATTTCCTTGCGTAGGCCTCGCGTAAGCCTAGGACTTGAAGCTTCATCTCGGTCACCATACTCGTCTTTAAGTTTATCCAACCATTCTGTTACCGAATATTCGATTCCGTCTTCTGATGCAATATCTTTTTCACTTTCAAACCAGGTTTTAGCAGGGCCTTTCACCGCGCTGGCTATCTCGATCATGATTTGATCGTCGGTGAGCTGGTAAGTTCTCTGCGTATCTTTCACCAGTCTTGTCCAACCATTCACAGTGTCACGACTGCCATCAAAGGTCACCAGTGGCGTTTTCCGAGCCATGGAGTTGAGCGCCTTTGCTAATGCAAATCCCGATTGCGCTTTCTGGTCATCTTCCTCTTCGCCACTTTCATCGTCACTTTGATTCCGCTTCGGCTTTGCATAACGAGACTTCCGTGGGCGTTCTTGCCGACTAGATGGTCTGTCTCTGAGCCCTTCGTCGATGTACACGTACGTTTCAATATGCGGGGGAAATTGGGAGGGATCGCTGTGACTCGTATGCGGATAGCCTCCTGATGGTGGCTCTTTGTCATCTTTGACCTTTTCGCCATTTTTTTCATTTTTGACACTTCCTCTGCCGGTACCAGTTCGTGGTGGCATTTCAAAGTGAAAGCTTTTTCCCGTGCCCGTTTCTTGTGCCTTACTGTAACTGGGCGGGGGTGATTCCACTGTTGCCGTTCTAACTCCATATTGCAGGAGCTGTTCATCTTTGTGCTTATTTGAGGGCCTTATTCTCATCTTCGAGGCGTCTGACTTTCAACTGAAATTCTTCCTTCTCTGTTTTCAGATTATGATTCTCCTCCTTGACCTTCAGCATGTGCTGGTGGAGTTGGAAAGTTCTCTCCTGAATGACCTTTTCCTTTTCATTCTCTACCTTTCTAATGTGTTCCACCATCTGGGTCACATCTCTTTCCAATTTCGTGTATTCTTCAGCTGCTGCCTTCAGCTGATTCTTCGTCTGGGTGAGCTCATCCTTCCCTGTCATTACCGTTTGGATCATATCGATCAACTCCGTGTTGAGTTTGATGATCTCTTGTGTCTTCTGATGGACGGTTTGTTGCCATTCTTTGTCTTTCAATTCGAGCGCGGTGACCTTTGTGTCTAGGAGATGTGCCTCGTGCTCCCACCTCAAGCCTTGTTCGGCAAGTGTCTTGGCGGTCCCTTTCAGCTCGGTGTTTTCTTCGGTGACCTTTTCGATGTCTTCTTTCAACGCCTTATTCTCCTCCGTCACCCGCTTTATCTCGTTGCTCAGCCGTGCGCCTTCGGTGGCTGTGAGGTCATTCCTGAGCTTAAACACTTCAGTAGTGTTCGTCAACAGTCGCTGGGTTGCCTCGGCGAGTTTGGTCGCATAATCGTCTCGTTTAGCTTCCGCCTCGGTGACCTTTTGTTTCAGTGAGTCGCATTCGTCCTTCAGTTTGGCTAAGTGTCGTGACCTTTCCGCTGATTCTTCCGACATACTCTCGTTAAGGTCACTGACTGCAAGATGACCTTCCATTTCTCTGTCATCTACCATCTTCAAGTATTCTTCCGCGAGTTCTCTTTGACGTTCATATTTGATTTTCCATTCATCTGCCGCGCTCTCTAAGTCAACTTGTTGTTGTTCCAATACGTATATTCGGGTTTCCAGCGACGACAGTTTTTCCCGATTTTCTTTTGTTCGTTTCGTTGCTTAATTTTCCTTGGCCTCGAGTTCGTCTTCCAACTCTCTCACACGAGTCCTCAGAGTCGTTGTGGGACTGTTTGGTGATGGCGGTCTAACATTGATGACCTTTCCTGTTCTTGTCCGTTCAATTAGGTGCTCCGGTATATCTTTGAAAGGTGTTATCCCTTCAGCACGGTCAGCTTCCTTCATCGCGGTTTGGAAGGACATATTCATCGTCGTTTCATCATCCGTGAAGTAAGACTCGTTCGATTCATCTGAGACCATTGGAGTTGCCCAAAGGTCATCGCCTGCGGTTTTATCGTTCAGTGAAAGGTCATCCAGTCCCAGTTCAGCCAGTTCCTCTTCGGTGACCTTTGTGTTTCTCTCTTCCGCTTGAGCCAGGTTCACATTTTTATCCTGCTCATTCGTTCCGCTAATGGTAGCATCCAGCTGTGATGCTCCCACTGCTTCCGCTCTTTTTTCTGTGGATTTTTCCTCCCCAGTGACCTTTATCTGGTTCATCGGTTCGCTTCCCGCCGCAGACGCGGGAGTGTGTTTCTGGTCGTCACTGGAACTTTCCTGATTGGCGACCGCCTCAAGCGCCTTCTGGTAGGTGCTATCAGAGCCTCGCGAGTCCTTCTTCTCGAATGCCTTGGGCGCTCGAGTGTTCCGCTCGTGTTCAACTGGACGCGAGTACGTGTGCAAATCTTTTTTGTACGGATTTGGTGCACCTTGCTGTGAACTTCGGGAGCTTATGCTTCCCTGACTGCCGGTAGACGTTGGTTGTTCCTTGTCTTTATCCATGTTGATCGGATAACTTGGACGCTCCTGCCAATTGTTCTCACACACACGTTATTGTATGGTTTATTCGATTGTCTTAAAGGTCACTTTCGTTCTACGTATTTCTTCTAAGTCCGTGTTAAAGGTCACTTTTCGATTGAAAAAATTCGACTTTCCGTTTCAAGGTCACTTTTTCGATAAAAAGTTCGAGAGTTTTGCCCTAAAGGTCACTCTTCAGACAAAACTTCGAAACCGTTTTTACAGTTTAGAACCCGTTTACGAATGAAATTCTACAGCTGCTGATATCGCTGTACTACTAATCAACTTAATTTCAACTTTGTTAAAGGTCACTGTTGGTCACTTTCAGATCTTAAAAGTCACTTAAAACGGTCAAACTGATCAATTCTAACTTTTGATAAAGGTCACTTTCTGAAGTCAAAGGTCACTTTTCCACTCGTTTGAACTCAAAAGGTCACTTTCCAACTTAACTCGAGTTAAAGGTCACTTTCCAGCTCAATTTCAAGTCAAAGGTCACTTTCCAGCTCAATTCGATCAAAGGTCACTTTTCCTTTGTCTTAACTCAAAAGGTCACTCTCCTTTTCAAATTTCACATCTCAATTCAAATTTCCCATTACAGTTCAAGTTCAAAGGAAAATCCCCATTTACGTTGTTTACATCGTTCCTATTGGTCCGCTAGCTCAAATTATTCAGTTCAAATTTCAGCCAATCACAGCTCAGATAATTGACCAATAGCGTTAATCCACTTAAATTTTATATCAGCCTGACGTCACGGTCAACGGCCAGACATGCGCACTGTGACTGTGTGCAAAAACCCCGCCTATGTCTATGCTCAGCTCAGTATCGACCAATAAGAATTGAGAATTTTACCAACTAGCCAATCCCGTAATTAATAACGGTTTCCTACCTGTTGAGCGTCCTTTCCGCGGGGAAATGATCCAGATAATCCAATTTCTTCTCCACTATCCGCTCCCGCGTAGCCGCTTTTCCGTAGCGGTTGTGCCGCACGCTTTTAGTCTGCTACCGTGCCGGCTGACTGCCGTAGCAACAGTAGTGGTGCTCTACAACCAGTTTGGTGGAGTCTGATCTACTTTCTCCGTGCGCCCCTTTCAACGCTTCGGCGCTGGTGCCCCACGGCTTAGGCTTCGCTGAAGCCTTGCTGAGTATCAGTGACACCAGTGTAGGTCTTCGCTGAAGACTCTACACCGAGGAACACTGACGACTGAACTCTTGAACTCTTGCTCAGCTGAGGAAACAGCACAGGTCTTCGCTGAAGACACTGTACCGAAAACCAAAGCTGGAGATCCGCGTCCGATTGGGAGTTGCACCGCTTGTGGTGTTGCGCTTTGCTGTTCCACGCACCTGTGCCTTACTGGTGAACAAATAACAGGCCAACTTTGCCTGACACACTTCAAATCAAATCAGATCAATTCAGAGAACCGCTGTCGGCTCTGCTACCATCTAATGCTAGATCCAACTGTGATCCAGATACGGCGACCTAAACGGAATAGATCCCATGGAGCGAGCAATGCGATATGTATTGCGAGCTATGCGGAAACACAAGACGTCGCACCGCTAATTGCTAACTTTTAATAATATTGAAAGTTCCGACAACAGAAAATCAATACTGATCGGCGCAGCTCGATCGTAAATCGTAGAGCCAATTCGACTGTGTGCGGCACGTGCTATGCCGCGCCCACTAACACAACTCAAGCCAATCAGAAGCGAGACACAACACAGACACGTAATCCAAAGGCGTAGCGCCTAGCGCCACGGGCGTGAACGCTAGTGAGGCCTCGTCTCACACTGTGTTTGTATTGTACACGTACAATAGCGTATGTACACGTACATTGTACCAACCTGTTGAATACAGTATTGAGTGAATCCTTTGTTGTCTTCCACATACTGCTCCTCGGGTTTTTTGTTTCCCCATCCCGTTCTTCGCATATACATACTATAGGTAAGCGGTGGTAAGTTGACAACTGTCGAAACTTATTGGCTATGGACTGTAATTGTAGTTTTTCATTAGGCAGTAGCAACCTGAGTAGCAGCAACGCAAATGCAGAAATTGCTTACTTTTTCCAAAAAATTTGATAATAAAACCAGCCTTTCCTCGGTTTAAAACTAACAGGTAAACTGCTCAACAGCATTAACACCTAATCTGCATAGCCCAAGAGTGGTTGCAAATGGGGCTAACTGTAATAAACCGTATGTAGTTTTTGGGATACGATCGAGGCATCGGGCACAGGTATCACGGTATTTCTGCGGTTTTGTCGTCCGCCCGTCAGGGCCATCTGAGCATGTAGCCTGAGCATTGACGCCATCGCTGACGTCGCCGTCCAAGCACACAACGTGGCAGATGCCGATTACGCATTCGCTGGGAGTCGTCACGTTCTCGCAGAACACCCAGTTTGATATCGGGAGCACTTCTCTCGCGTCGCAGGGTTCCTGGGTGGTACGCCGCTGATGCTGGAAACGTTCTGGCCATTCAAGGGTTGTCTTCATTGGCTGAGTAGGTGCAAGAAGTGCTGGAACTCTGTCGCGAATTAGCCATGAGTCGGAAGTTGGAGGACGATGACGCTGAGGCGAAGATGTCGTCACGCAAGAGAAGATCGGAGTGACGGCAGTGACGGCGCCATCGATTCGGGACGACAGTGGGGACATGCGCATGGTGACACCGCTGCGTCGTCCCTGTAGATGATTTGGATTTCACTGAGGAGCGATGCGATGAAGCTGCAAGACCCGCGAAAACAATCGGTGAGTGTGCCAACAGTGAAATTCACGCCAGATTTATTTTTGATGGATCTTCAATCTTTAACATTATTAGTTTTATTGACTTCAGATCTTTTTTATTTTGTACTTTCGCTTTTTTTGTTGTGTATTTTAAATCAAACTGATAACTGTAGCCTGGAAAAATTTGCATACAACTAGTGAAACAAGATATACAGTACTAGTACAGTAATTTGGAATTGCTAATATGCTTGTAAAACTTGCAGGAATCATCGCGTTGCAGCTTTATGACTTTGTCGGCTGCTCAACGGTCTGACCTCCGAACCGTTGTACATTCTCTTCGAAGGAAATTCTCTTCGGCACCATAATATAGCCATCAGTCAGCTCAACTCAGGATGTGTGTGATCACGTTGGCATTTTCGTCACAACCCTCGTCGTGTCAGGAGGAAACGCTCCTGTGCCCGCGCCTAACGGACTTCGGCAGACGCACAATGCGCATGTGGTCTGGATCGGCGGGGAGAGATATGGACGCACAGTGGAATGGTGCCCGGTACCAGTGGAATGGACTCTCGCGTTAAAAGTAAGGGCGAGTTCTCCGCAGCCAGATCAAGCGGGAAGATTGAACTGGATGACGGGTCATTCGGTGATGTTCTGGTGGAACCGAACAGTTCATCCGTTCCCGGCACCTAAACGGCAGCTTCCGGTGATAGTGACTGGGATCAGATTTCATCTGTAGATTCGCCGTCATCATTTACAGAGCAAGCGGTGATGTGCTTCCAGATTTATCTTCCGGATAATGGGAAATCGCCGGCAATCAGAAGCGTGCACGGATCGTTCACTGGACGGCCCGATAATGAACAATCCGGGCAGGTGTACAAACCTGAAGAAGAGAACGAGTATGTGTACCGCCAGTGCCGGCTACAATTTTTCACGCCGCCCATTCCCCAGACAGCCCTGGAATACTCTGCGATCCATAGTTGTGCTGGTGATCACCTTCTCATCTAGACTTCCGGTGTAGAACGGCACACTGACGACTGAAGACAACTTCACAAAGTCTGAACGACCATCATCCACGCGGAGGACAATACGGTGGGCGCCATGACGGAGAGATCAGTACGATAGGAATAATTACCGTAAATAATCTATCCTACCGACCTACTCAACGACAGAGTATGAGCTAATAATCTCAATGTGGCATAGCCAAGCCTACGAATCTACGCGAAGCGAGAACTGCATCTCCGACGATAATTTAATTAGAAACTCCGAAACTGCCAAAACCCATAATGTGAAAACTGACCCCCCGTAAAATACTGCCACTCACTGATTTATATAGACACGGCGCATCCGTGTAGAAACAACCAAAAGTAAATCCGAACACAAAAGAGAAGTACAGCGAATAATAGAAAGTACGAGTAAAGCCGTCACTTTACGTACTGTACTGCTATATTCCGTCAATACGACGAGATGTTCGCTCCACACAAAAGTTTGTCGCTGACCGTCTGATGAATCCCCTTGACCGATCGCTTCCAGCATCCAACACTTCCAACATCGAAATAGATAACAAGGCGGAAAGCAGAGATCACTACAACAACAATCACTACTGTAACCGCTAGATGAAATGTCACCACAGAGTCTGGTGTACGGAAAACAGCACACGCGCTGCTGTTAACTTGTGCGCTGTCCGGCCGGGGGCAGGCAGCGGCCGGATCTAAAAGTGGTGCCATTCCATCTAGCGGCTACAGTATATTGTCATTACCTGAAAGTAGCACTCTTCGTTGACAGCCAAAACCATTCGGCCACCGCGACGAGCTAACAGTAATGTTTCCTTTCTCGCTGGATTGTCGGCGTACAGGATAATCCCATTTGGATCAAAATTCCGGGAAGAACTGGTAAACGTTACGTCCTTTCGCTGCAGAAACATCTGCATTTGGTTGTTTTTTGTTGCCTCGAAGCTGACGGTATTCCAGTCTACGGTGTCTTAATTAGTTTCGGCGACCGAGCACAGTTTCTTCATCACAGGATAAAGCCGTAGTTGAGGAAAGTGGTTCAGTCAGCAAGGACTCGGCAGTCGACGCCACCATTTCTTCAAATTCACACCGTCCAGTCGCTTGCAGTTCACGGTCAGATGCTTGCAATTGCTCAAACCCAATCAATTCTCCGCTGATAATCAGCCCGGTGACATAGCCGACAAAGGAGCGCGCCTTCGTCGCGGTACTCGACTGATCCACAGCCGACGGAACTTCTCCGACGTAATTGGTATCGGAGAAAATATCGATACTCTGAGTCTGCCTCATTTTCTCCTGGATCACTGATCGTATACACTAATCTCAATTTTCTTTTTGCGTTTACGTACGGACACGGTATGCAACACCGCTCATCGGGGAAGCTGTTGTCCATGATCCTCTTTAGCTTTGCCGCTGAACCAGTGCTAACGGTCAATACAATCTGTCCTCCCTGAATGGACGCAGTCCAGTAATTATTATTTTGTCGCGTTTATAATTTTTGCTCACTGATGCAATGGGGAGCCCATCGCCGTGGTCAGTGGCAAAGGAAAGACTGATGTTGGCGTTGGCTGGTAACATTTTTCCAGGCAGTTCCATGTAACCGGCACTTCTGCTAAAACTGACTTCCCGAATAGCCCGATTATGACTACCCTGCTCCAAACCGAAATAATACAAGTATGAGCAGATACGATCGTGATGTGATATTCGTGAGCCACAATCGTCAGGCTGGACGGTACTCTCGGCCCCGAAGAAAATATGGGCACTCGGGGATTGATGATCGGCTCCCAACAGCGTCCAGTGGATCAAAAGGGAAGCCCAAGGAAATCCACGAGGGCATCGTTGTGGACAACAAGCGGCACATTCGAAGCATCGGCGGTTAATAATTTTTGTTTGCGAAATGGGCGTTATATAGATATGATGTATTTTCAGTACGTATTCTGATTTGAAATTAGCAGCTGCACGCATTGCGCAGGAGGAAGCTGCCCGTCTGAAAGCAGGGTCCCCGAACAAGTGTTGGATCCACACGTTGCCTGTAGCATGCCTCAGTAACCTGATAGCCAGTAACGCGTTCCGATATCGCGCTGCGCTTTGGAGAGTTTCTTCCACAGCGGCTTTCTATCGAAATTCGACGACGATACGCTACTTATAGTGCGTCATGGAATTCTGCCAGACCAAGAGAGCATTGAAGAAGTGTTTTTGTTGTAGTTTTTTATGTGGTACTTTTTGTTTTAAGTAATTCTTTTTTTGTGCTTTGAAAATCGAAGGTTTTATATTACTATGTCCATGTACATTGCACTTTAGAATCACATGCTGTATTATTTTGTACAGAGCGGAATGTGAAACAACATGCAGCATGATAAATGCGCAAAGCTATTGTGTCATAACGGGAACAGCCAGTGGGATACGTTGCTTCTCGTCAAGTGCAAACCATCATAAATGGGCCTAGATAATAATCTAGATAATATT